GGGGGGGGGGGGGGCGAATGGGCTGGCTTGATAGTGTGTTTTCATGTGTGTGATGAAGAAAGAGACAGGAAAAATGAGAGAAAGCATGTGTGTGTGCGTGTGTGCGTGTGTGTGTGTGTGTGTGTGTGTGTGTGTGTGTGTGTGTGTGCGCGCGCGTGTGATGGTGTGTGTCCTGAACGCGCAAGTGTTCTGTGCCGTGCGGGTGGTGGGTGACCAAAGCAGAACGGGGACCAGAAGAGGGGCCCTGACCCCAATCCGGCCCTCTTTAAACGCCGGGCGCCGAGGCCTGCTGCGCGTGACCGCGCTGCTCACCGGCCTCCAGCAGTATGTCCGCGATGGCCTCGTGGCCCGACAGGCACGCCTCCAGCAGGGGGCAGCTGCCAAAGCTGTTGCGCGCGTTGGGGTCGGCGCCGGCGGCCAGCAGCTGCCGCGCGGTGTCCGCCTGGCCGTTGACGGCCGCGACAAACAGCGCGGTGCGGCCTGGGGGACGAGGGGATGGGTGTTGCGGGGGCTGGTGAGGAAGGACGCAGAAGGCACGTCAGGCGTTGGGCAAGACCGCACAGCAATGGACATATACGGGGCCCGATTGAAATTGGCCCAACATCCCTCCAACCAGCGGCATCAACAGCTGCGGCTGCAGCCGCGCACCGTCGTAGTCGCGGCAGTCAACGGGGCAGCCGCGGCCGAGGATCGCGCCCACTGTGGCAGTGTCCCCCCACATGCACGCGTTGAGCAGCTCGTCGGTGCGCTCCTGCCATGGTTGAGGGGGGGCAGCAGGTGAGGAGGCAGAGGGGATGGGGGAGCTGTTGCAGGGTGACCAATAAGGGGGCCAATCGCGGAGTGGAGAGAGGGGCCCGGCTGGGCGAGGGCAGCAGGGAACGAGGGGAGTCGACTTGCCAAGCCGGCAGTACTTGGAGCTAAAGCCGCGACAGCATGCCTGCGGGAGCCCTCTGGCGCCGTCGTGTCTCCATGCACCCCCTGCCCCCGGCCCCTGCCCTTTGCCGTGGCTGGGCGAGCGGCGCCGTGCCGCCCCCACCTGTTGGAAGCGCTGCCGCGCCTGCTCCCGCGCCTCCTGGCCCAGCTCTGGCCGCGACTCCAGGTAGGCCACCACCTTTTAGGGGGGGGGTGTTGGGGGGTCAAGTGAGGGGGTCAGGGC